CACAAGACTAGATAATGATCTGAGATATCATCACTTGGCTGCAGAATTTCAACACCATCGACATCAATTCCATGTGACAGTATTAAATCTGGAGTATGATTTCAACAATGAGTAGGTCCTGACACGTGTTGTCTAACCCCAACAGAGTTCAGAATGTCTATGAATGCTGATCCCAATGCATCTTTTTCATTATCAACATGGATATTAAAACTTTATCTGCAGCCAGCACTAACTCTGATAGAAAATCAGCACATTCTTTAATAAAGTCTGTATGGTGCCCTGGTGGCCTGTATACAGTAGCCAGTACAAACATCACAGGGGATTTATCATTAACACTTGTTTCTCTGGATAATGTTATATGAAGCACCATTACTTCAAACGAGTTATACTATATTTTATTCCATTGCCCTGCGTCTCATGTTTTTAAATGCAAAAACACATTCTGTGTGAATGGCCTCTGATAGTTAGAGTTAGTTAGACTTCTTGCATTTTAGTATTTTGATTATCTTCACCTTCTCTGACCTTTACAAACACACTGTTTTTGCTGCTGTACCTTTAAGACATGTACAGTGGGTACGGAAAGTATTCAGACCCCCTTAAATTTTACACTTTTTTATGTTGACGAGGATGGATCGTATGTAGGAAGCTTTTCTCATGCATTTCTCACAGTGTGTTTTTTAGTGTTATTTGGAAATAAATTGCATGCAACACCTTTACTGACCTAGGCGCTGCAGGTTAGTATAGTTAAAAATAAGCTACAAATAAAGCATAACATTTTTTGTTACTTAAAATAAAATATACATTTTAACTGAAATTAAATAAAATATTTAAAAAATATCTTAGCTATTTTCTCATTTTCATTTAGCATAACTTGTTGTACTAAAATTAAAATGGAAATATATATAGATGTTATATTAGACTATATATATATATATATATTATACATATAGACTATATAGACATTTAAAACGGTGTTATTATAGTAAACTAAAACCGTAACAAATATTTTTCATCAACTGATTAAAACATCAAAAATTACAATTATTTTATTTCAGCTATTTTCTCATTTCTCATTTCAAGTTCTAAATAACTAAAACTGAAATAAAAACTATATAGACAAAACCTAATAAAAATGACAAAAACACAACACAATTACTAAAACTAGCTAAAATAAAGTGAAAACATAAAATATAAAAATTAAACTCAAGATATAAATAAACTATAATAGTATTTCAGTTACACTAAAATAACACTAAATAACACTAAATAAAAATACTTTAACCTAACTTTATCTAAAATTAACATGAAAACGGAAAAATAATATTAAAACTATATAAATATAAAAAAACTATAATAATACCTAAATTATACTAAAATAACACTGACTTAAAAAGAACCTAAAAGATGCACAACAAAATTACTAAAACGTTAACTAAGATTAATATGAAATGGAAAAAATCTAATTAAAACCGATTCTAAATATTAATAAAAACTTTAATGTTACTAATAACACTGGTGTGTTGTGATTTTAGTCATTTATTTGTTTTTATCTCAACACCATGTTGCTTTTTTCTTGAATTATTTTAATTTTCATTAGTGCTGTCAAGCGATTAATCAGGATTAATCACATCCAAAATAAAAGTTGTTAACATAATATATGTGTACGTACTGTGTATATATATATATATATATATATACACACACACACACATGCATGTATATATTTAAGAAAAATATTATATGTTTATATATTAAATATATTTATATATAATATAAATTATCTGATTATAAATACATACATGTAAATATTTTCAAAATATATACATGCATGTGTGTGTATATATATATACATAATAAATATACACAGTACACACACACATATATTATATAAACAAAAACAATTAATCGCGATTAATCGCTTGACAGCACTAATTTTGACAAGATTTAAAGGAAAATGTGTAGGTAATATAGATGCACAGAAAATATAAAAAAAAATATGTAAGCAGAAACAATTACACAAGGAATTACAAATATTGTACAAAGTGTATTTGTATTGTACAAAAAAAAGAGAGAAGAATTTTGAGTATTTAAATCAACTGAGTATTTGATGAATTTGATTTCTCCCAACCATCCAAACTTAGAACATGTTTAGATGCGCGTTGTAGATGGTTGTAAGATGCGTATTTTATGTCACATCTTTTTGAATGAGCAGCTAGAAGTAGTAAAGCGTATACATTTCAAAATAAGAGTCCCAGTGTAGTTCATGCTCGTTTTAATAAAAATTCCTCGCCATATAAAAAAATATTTGGTAATAATTACTGGTATTTGAGTTCCCATATTTCTCTTTTTGAACGAGCAGCTAAAAATAGTAAAGTGAAGACTTTTCAAACTAAGAGTCCCATTGTATTTCAAGCTCGTTTATGATTAGAAGTCTCCCATTGTGCATAAAATCTTTTTTTCTCCTGCTATTATTGGTATTTGGTTACACAATAAACAGTATCTGGCATTTAAAGCAATGTAAACTCTTGTAGTTTCTCTCTGAACCGCCCCGTCACAGGACAGAAAGACTAAGAACATTATTGAACACATTCAGTATATGCACAATAATCTTATCATTGCGTTTCTTTAAATGCACGATCACATATTAGTACAATTCAATATCGATGGACCTCGATTTTTGTTAAACCAATAAACCAATTTCAGTGCACATGTAAATATTGAATAAAACATGTCTTGGGTGTTTAAACTCACAGTTCCCTGTTTTGCAGTTGATTTTGCTGCTGCCTGTTAAATTAAATAAAAGAATTTGAGAAACCTGATTATTTTGAGACTGGGACAGTATTCATTTTATTTGTGCAAGACTTAAGAAAGGTCTTAAAAAGTAGATTAAGCTGCTTTATAATAGCGAGCCGTTTTCAGCCCCCAAACTGTGTGTTTGTACCCCTGTGAATGTTTAATTAATGCTTGCACTTTCAGGCAAACTCTTAAATTGTGGGGCAGTTTGTGTTAATTACCTCTTTTATCCTGAGATCTCAGCGTAAGTGAAAGCTTCTGCTAATGAAGATGCAAATTACAGCTCTCTCTTTATTCCTGTGATGGATGCGCATTAGAGCTTAAAAGCGTTGTATTTATGTTATTCTTTCAACACTCTGCGTGTGAAAGATGATTTGTGTTTCCTGAGGTAATTAAAAACACTTTTTATGATGATTAGGTTTAATTGTGCTTGTAAATATGTTCCATGTATTAGGCAAAATTACTGAGGAAAAACATCCACGCAGAGAGATAAAAGTGTTTTTATAGCATTAACTTGTAATTGAATATGGCAGCTTATTGTATTGAATGAATTAAAGCTCTATGGAGCTCTATATAACAAGCAAAAATCATGTTTACATGGAGTTTCCCTGATAAATCGTGAAGGAATAGTGCTGTAAATGCAACATCCGAGATTAGGATGAGTTTGTTTCTTCATCAGGTTTGGAGAAATGTAGCACTGCATCAGTGTCTCAGCAATGGATGCTCTGCAGTGAATGGGTGCCGTCAGAATGAGAGTCCAAACAGCTGATAAAAACATCACAATAATCCACAGCACTCCAGTCCATCAGTGAACATCTGGAGAAGACAAAAGCTGAAACACATCCAGCATTAAGACCTTTTTAACGAAAATACGAGACTATAATCCATAATAACTCTTCCTCCAGTGAAAAAGTGTTCTGGTGTGAATCAGGAGAGAAATCTGCACAGATCAAGCAGCGTTTAAACAGCTCTAAACACATATGTGGCTGGATTCTGATGCGAGAGACAACAGCAGATGCACTTTTTCACTGGAGGAAGAGTTATTATGGATTATAGTCTCGTATTTTCGTTAAAAAGGTCTTAATGCTGGATGCGTTTCAGCTTTTGTCTTCTCCAGATGTTCACTGATGGACTGGAGTGCAGTGGATTATTGTGATGTTTTTATCAGCTGTTTGGACTCTCATTCTGACGGCACCCATTCACTGCAGAGCATCCATTGCTGAGACACTAAATGTGTTTGTTTTCAAAGTGATATCATGCTGTCAATGGAGCTGTTAGAAATGCTTTTCCGCTTCTATTGACCCTGAATATTCTTTTGTATATTTCTGTCCGTCTCTCGTTACACTCTTTGATGCCGAGTGGATTTTCAGTGCAGCCGTTATTGATCTGTGTGGATCTCTGAGGGCTTTTTAACATCAGCTGTAGTGAATGACTCTTCCTCTACTGTAACGCTTCATCTTCATCATCTGACCACACACACACACACACACACACTCTTATACACACACACACAGACACGCACGCACGCACGCACACATACACACACACACACACACACACA